CGTCCGTCCCTCTAACGGGTCACTAATATTGTAACGAGATGATTGTTTATCAGTTCTTAATTAAATGTAATTTTCTTTTGAAAAAAATTCTTTCCTAGATACTTTGGTGAAGGCAATATATGATCCAAAATTTGTGTAGTTGATCCAAAATTATTTTCTTGGTTTATTTAATTTTTATGTTTGTTTTAAAAAAAATATTTTTTCCATAATTATTTGAAAAAAAAATCTTTCGAAAAAAGAAAAAAAAAAAGATAACAAGATAATAACTACCCAAATTGCTAATATTTTACCAGACTCAAAGAGTATTTGAAATTATTGTTTTATGTAAATATATAAATATATATGTTTTGCATTACTAAATACAACCAAACACATTTATATTATATTTCTCTGAATATTAAAAAAGATTTTTGCCATAACTAAACATGATAATATAAATTTCTTAAAAATCATATTATTTTCTAATACTTTTCTAATAATTTAATTTTTATTGATTATCGCATATTAAACACCTCCATATTCTTAAATATATATATATATATATATAAATCTCTCACTCGCTTTTTTTTCCCCCTTAAAGAGAGAGGGGAAATTTCCTTCTTAAAAGGAGAAACCTCTTTGAAATTAATTCTGAAAGAACATGATTTAAAAATGGAAAGAACATATAGAGCGGTGATAGGTTTGGGTTATTCCATTTAACTCAGAAACATTGGTTGTTCTTTCAGAGACGAAAAGTAGAGGCACATTATTTGTCATATATACTTGTCATGCTCATTGCTTAGCTGAATAAGGACAATATGATATATCTCTTTCAATGTGTCCATATTAATATCATTATCACGTTGATGTAATCCATGATATATATTAAATGATTATTAGCCTATTAATCTTGTAAAGTAGTATTGTGCTCATTGAACAATGTGTTGAATTTAAGGCTTAGCCCCACAGAATAAAATACTACTGACAATCATATGTAGCAATTATGAATATCATATTCACCAAGTAAGACGGTCCATGCATTAATGCAACATCTTCAACGGTTGGCATTAAAATTCTTTATTTTTTCCTTCTTTTTTTTTTGGATCCTACGATGAATTTGCTAAAAGATATTATATGACAGGATCTCATAATCTAGAATAGGGTTTTTTATTTTTTTTTTATTTTTTTTTTTGCTGCATAAAAAATTCTAGTATAAGTTTTTGATTGTCAAAAAGTTGCTTTTATTCAGCCACTTTCAATACAAGTATGATTGGATCTTGTAGATCTTGTCATACAACACTTATGTAAAAACTAGTTTTTAACGCTGGATTCATTTAAAATTACGGTCATACAAATTATTTTAATTTATTTTATTGTCTTTTAAATTAGTATTATTTTGTCTTATTTAATTTGTTTTTATTTAATTTGGTGTAATTTTATTTTGTCTTAGTGTATTTTTGCTCAATTTTATTTTGTATTTAAATTATTTATATCTGAGTAATATCATAATTTTGATGCAAAACGGTCTTAAAACGGATAAAATCATACCACAAATCAATTAACAGATATAATAAATAATTATAATTAAAAAATTATTGATGAGGAAGTTATTTACCGACAAATCAAGTACCTTTAAGTTTAAATATTTGTAAGTTTTAAGATTTTTTGTTAGTTTAATGTGTTTTATTTTATTTTTATAGATTGAAGTTAAAATAGAATAAAATGAGTGAAAACTTGACTTCAGAACATACTTTAATATTTTGGGCATAACTTTGTCATATGAAGTCCAAATGAGGTGATCTTTGTGGCGTTAGAAAGATAAGAGATAGAGCTACAACTTTCATGAAGACACCAAATGCTAATTCGACCATATAAAAGGCAAAAATCCTCCACAAAATCAGAAACCTGCTGCAGTGGGAAAATCTACCCACTGCAGTAGATTGGACAATTTGGGGCTGAAAGAACCCGCTATAGCGGGAAAAACACCCACTGCAACGGGTTTGCCTATGCCACTAGGATTTTTTAGAAATCTTAACAGCACTGCAGCAGGAAATTGATCCGCAGCAGTGTCAATATGTGTAATGCTGTCATTTTAGGGCTGATTTGAGGGGAATATAAAAGGCAAATGTTCTAAGAATCAAATTGGGGGAGGAAGAGAGGAAAAAGTGACACAAAATCCCTAGAGAAGAAGGAACTTTGAAGGCACAAATCTCATTATTTCATTGAAGATCCTTGAAGAAGATGGTGAATTCAAGCTTAGAAGATCATTCTTCCAACACAGTTCTTCCTTCTCCCTTTATTTCCTTTTTACTTTTTTAGATTTTGTTTTTGGTTATGGATTCCTCCATGTTGAGCTAGAATATTATTTTAGGACTTGATGTAACCTTATTTGAACTATGTTTTTTAATATTTTGTCAAATGTTAGTTTGATTTCCATTTAATTCATTTGTGTTTCTCTATGTTTATTGCTCTAATTTCTATTTTCATGGATTAGAGATATAGATGTGTGGATTTAGGCTTGGGAGAGTTACTTTCACATGTTGGAATTGAGAAAACACAACCTAGAGTTAGTTGAGTTCGGGAGGCTAATTAATTCAGGTAATCAAAATTAGGTTGCTTAAAGGATGCTTAATTCGGTTAGGCTAATAGGGATATTGTTTAACTGAGTTTTGCATACTATTTTGCTCGGCACCCGGGGGAGGGAGTGAAATTACCTTCAAAAACTTAAGATTAATGAATTTAGTGGAATTGGCTAGCATTGGCTTGATAGGATGAACATAGGAATAATAAGGTGAAGTTAAGTCCCTAGTACATTTCTACATAGAAGTTTCCAAATTTATCTTGTTTTAGTATTTATATTTGTTCTAGTTCTACTTTAATTTCATTAAGATTCGGTTGCCTAGATAAAATTAAGTTACAATAATTACGGTACTTAGCGTCAATTTAACACCCAATCCTTATGGAGACGATACTCACTCACCCTACACTATCAAAACATGACACCGTACGCTTACGGGCAAACAATTATGCTATTTATTTTTTAAAAAAAGAAACGATAAGGAAAATACAAAAAAGGAACATGTCAGTATGGTGATTTAAATTCTATTTCTGACCCGAAAAGCTCGCGGTGTGACATATGTGGTGAAACTTTAATACTGAAACTTTTTTAGGGGTTTGTGGTGGTAGTGGAAGGATCGGACCAATCCACGTGACGAGTGACGCGTGGCTTTTCAGTGAGGCCTACCGCACCAAATTTCTTTCTTCAAACAAGAAAAAAAATGAACGAAACGTTTCATTCTAAAGCCCCAAAAACCCATTAGTAATGTTGTATAAATATCGATTATTTGATGCTCAAAAATGTAATTATGTCACAAACTATAAAATACAATTGAGTATATCATCAAACACAACATAACGATTCATTTATTTATAATTGATGATAAAAATTTACAACAAACGTTTTTTTTTTTTTTTTTTTGCTATTCAAAATTTTCCTCATATATATGATCGTTGGATTATTTAAAAAAAAAATTCAAAAAAAATTTATAAATATATAATATATATGATATGGGCAATGTAATAATTTTGCAAAAAAAATATAAATTTATAAATTAATGATTCTATTATAGTGTAAAATTCTCATATAAAATTTAAATTTTAAACGTTAGAATTAAGAATTATAGATTTGAGTATATCCCAAACAGATCCTAATATTATTCAAGTCAAATAACCAATAAAGAGAATAAAAAATAGAAGATTTTTAGTAACAGAGTAAAGAATGTGAAAGTGAGAATAAGTGCATATGTTTATAAGAAAGGTGACCAATAAATGAGTACTTTTATCTTGTTTTGATTCGGCCACCTCATCAAGTAAATTTCCTTCGAGAGTGCTCGGTAGTGTCATTGTAATGCCTCATCTAATAGGTATATAACGACTTCCTTTTCACAGAGTTAAATTTTTGTGCGCCAGGCGGGAGGTAAATCTGTATCCGCTAGGCAGGAGGATAGAAAATGAAAAATATATCTCGTCATGACATGTATTTTTATTACTTCTATTACTATGAAATTCATAATACACCTATCATAATCTTTACTGCATATGCCATTAGATATATAGTTATTTTAGTTGTAATAATAATTTTTTATCTAATAAACTTGTATGTAAATTACTCACACATTTAGAATAATTTGATGTGGCAAGCTATTACAACTAATGAAATATTTGACGTGACAAGTAAAAAAAAAAAAAATCAGAATCAGCAGAACATTTAGTAAAACTTTTCTTAAAAATGCTACATAAAAAATGCTGTAGATTTAATTAATTCAAGAAAAATTAAAGAGTTTTTTTTTTTTTTTTAAATTTCTCAAATTTATCAACTTACGCCTTGAAATTTTAATTTTGATAATTTACCCCTTAACTTGTTAACCAATTACAATGTCGTCTATTTTACCAATTTTACAATGATGTCAATTAGATTAATAGGATTGAGAGTTGGAGAATTAGAATGTTATTTTTTTTTTTCTTGTTGAACGTAGTTTTTCATCACCAATTTAATTCAACTATGGCTAAAATGAGGCGTGTTTCAGTTGAGTAAAAGTTGGGTTAAATTTCAAAATTAAAAATTCCGTCACATATTACTAAAATCCTAAAAATTCAGGTGGGGTAAATATGCAACGTATCCAAAATTAAATAATGTGTAGAAAAAAAATGAACGGTGTAGAAAAAAGAGAGAAAAAAGTGCTCCCACATGTGATCCTAAGGCATGTTGGAACCGTGAAATGACGTCCACTTGTGTCCAATAGCTGACATCCCAACACAAGATTTTTCCCTCTTCAAACTACAAAATATTTAAATTAAAAAATAAAAAATAATCACTGAGAACCCATCAAACATAAAGGTGTGCGTGATATGAAAAGTCGAAAATGTCCAAAATCTCTGAGAATTTATAAATTTAGAAATAGAGATATTAGATTGAGGTCGGTTGCGTAATATCGCGGAATAAAACGATATTCGAGAACCCATCAAATTCAACAAATCAAAATCTCTAATAACTCCATCCACTCACTCACCCGATTCAGTCAATCTCCACAGTCCACACTTTCTCTCTCTAAAACGGAGTGAGAGAGTCCAACACACGGAAAGCTCAAGTTTTTTTGCTTCTTTTTTTTTTTTTTTTGAGCTTTCATGGCGTCCATGGCTGCCGTTGGAGCTCTCAGACTACCTTCCTCTTCTTCATCTTTCTCTCATTCATCGAATGCCTCAAGTCTCGTTCCAAGAACCGGTCTCCGAAGCCTCTCCTTCGCCAATTCTCATCTCTCCGGCGATAAGATCACCTCTTTTGCAATCTCCGGCTGCAGAGCCGCTTCCACCGACAGGATTCCGAGGATTGTCTCGCCTAAGGCCGTCTCCGATTCCAAGAATTCTCAGACTTGTCTCGATCCCGATGCCAGCCGCGTGAGTTTTTTTTTCCGATGATTTTTTTCTTTTTCTGCAAATAAATCGATTGTTCGTTCCTTAATCCTTCCGTTTTTGGATTAGATTCCGTTTTGCATTGTCGTTTGTTCTTTATTTTTTATTTTTTTTCCGTCGATCGTTTATCAGTTCTATGAATGACTATAGAAATCTGTTTTGTGCTGTGATTGATTGAGTTTTGTTTACTTATACGCATTATTCATATTCGTTTCTCTTTTCCGTCGATCCTTCGTTTCAAGTTTTATGGACTGAATTGCGATTCTTTTTTATTGTCGTTTTCAATTGATACATAAGAATAGCTTTTAGTTTTTATTTTTTTATTTAATGATACGTAAGACTAGTTGGTCATACATGTTTTACGGAGTGTTTTAGGCATTAGTCCTTTTTTTTTTATGTGATTGGAACTGTTGAACTGAAATTATGTTTTTTGTACTGTCGTTTTTTTATCGATTGGATTGTCGTACGCGGTGTTCTGCAGAGTGTTTTGGGCATTATTCTCGGAGGAGGGGCTGGGACTCGTCTCTACCCGCTGACCAAGAAGCGAGCGAAGCCTGCTGTTCCCCTTGGAGCCAACTACAGGTTGATTGATATTCCTGTCAGCAACTGCTTGAACAGCAACATCTCCAAGATCTATGTTCTCACGCAGTTCAATTCCGCTTCCCTCAATCGCCATCTCTCCCGGGCCTATGCCAGCAACATGGGTGGCTACAAGAACGAAGGCTTCGTTGAGGTTCTCGCGGCTCAGCAGAGCCCTGAGAACCCGAACTGGTTCCAGGTTATTATCCCATTAGTGGGTTTTAATTAATCACATATTCACGTGTCAACTTTGCGACTCACCTGATATTAGGACATATGAAATACTTGGAATTTTTCCTTTTTGTTTGATTTGCTTTTGCAATGAATTTGGAGAATTGAGGGTTTTTTTTTCGAGTACAGGGGACAGCTGATGCGGTGAGGCAATACTTGTGGCTGTTTGAGGAACACAATGTGTTGGAATTCTTGGTTCTTGCTGGGGACCATTTGTATAGAATGGACTATGAGAGGTTCATTCAAGCGCACAGAGAAACTGATGCCGACATCACTGTGGCTGCGCTGCCAATGGATGAAAAGCGTGCCACTGCGTTCGGTCTGATGAAGATAGACGAAGAGGGACGGATAGTTGAGTTTGCTGAGAAACCCAAAGGGGAGCAACTCAAAGCTATGAAGGTAGGTTGTGGGTAAATTGCTTCTTTACGGAATAACTTTGAATCTTAAAATTGTATCAATAGAGAGTTGTTGTGAATTTTAGTTGTAGAAGTGGGTAGTGAAAGAATGACTTGGTTTGTTCCTTGGCAGGTTGATACCACCATTCTGGGTCTTGATGATGAGAGAGCGAAGGAGATGCCTTACATTGCGAGTATGGGTATATATGTCGTGAGCAAAGATGCGATGTTAAATCTGCTTCGGGATAAGTTTCCTGGAGCAAATGATTTTGGAAGTGAAGTGATTCCAGGGGCAACTTCCACTGGAATGAGAGTGAGTATTGCTTCTGCTTATTTTGTCTCTGTAACCTTAGGATCAATTCAGGATGCCATACAATCTGTCTACCTGTTTTGTTAGGGTGGCATTATAATGGTTGGTAAACCACAATTGAGGTTATGATGGTTTCTGAAGCCCTGATCTTAATCTATTAGAGTTTCAATTAAGTCAACAACTTTGACTTTGATTATGATCAAATTGGCACTGGCACACACCTATTTTGACTATGTAAATGCTTTATAGTGAAACTTAGATTAATGCATCGTGGTTTTCTGGAAGATTGTGTATGTTGGTGTTGCAGAAAACTTTGTTTCTCCTCCTCCCTCCATGTCCAAATACGTAAATCACAGGGCACTAATTTGTTTCTTCAACTCTGTAGGTGCAAGCTTACTTGTACGATGGCTACTGGGAAGACATTGGAACAATTGAGGCTTTCTATAATGCAAACTTGGGAATAACCAAAAAACCCGTGCCAGACTTCAGGTATACCTCGTACTAGAACTAGGTTTTGTTTCTATGCTGCTAGTCTGTGGTGATACTATCAGCTTGAACAAAGTTTCTATGTAGGACTCACATAATTTTGGATTTTTTCCTTCAGCTTCTACGACCGTTCATCTCCAATCTACACCCAACCCCGGTATTTGCCACCATCCAAAATGCTTGATGCCGATGTCACTGACAGTGTAATTGGCGAGGGCTGTGTGATAAAGGTACTCTACTCTGATGTCTTAGGATCATACTGTGCTCGCTCTCTCCAAAGTCAGAGAAAAAGTGATCAATAGGACCTATTTGAATTAAGCTTATTTCATTCCCCTCTCTGTTTGTTTGTGCAGAACTGCAAAATTCACCACTCTGTGGTTGGGCTCCGATCTTGCATATCAGAGGGTGCAATCATCGAAGACTCCTTATTGATGGGAGCAGATTACTATGAGGTAAATCCCGGTAGTTTTACAGCCTAGTCTTTGAAGTCAGGGATCACTTTCATTTTTTGTTTTCCTCCTATTTACTATCTGAGATGGGTAACTTCATTAAAAATATTCTTGAGCTTTGTGTTAGTTCCTGAACATCACTGAATTATTGACATTGGATGTTTTTTCTCTAGACGGCTGCTGACAGGAGGTTTCTGGCTGCAAAGGGCAGCGTTCCAATTGGTATTGGGAAGAGCTCTCACATAAAAAGAGCTATCATCGACAAGAATGCCCGTATCGGTGACAATGTGAAGGTTAAAATTTTTCTTTGGCTGCTATAAGCTTATATTTTAAGTACATTTTACTCGTCTCTTTCAAGGGTGGACATTCTTTGTTGTTTGTTTGGCATGGTAATGGTAATGGTAAATAGTAATAGTTTAGAGACTATTAATATCATATTGTTGGCTGTCAAAGTTACTGCCTGTCAAGCTGCAGGACAATAAACAAAGAGCACTAATAAACATCTCGACCCGGGGTTGGGACTTGATTCCTATGGGGATCTGTTGGGATGTAAATGGTTTCTGATTAACGAATATATTCAACTGTGTAAATTCTGTTTAGCAAATAATCAGCTGCTGCTGCAAAACATGAACTTAATTCTCTGCAAAAGAAACATGCTCTTATAATTTTCCTCAAAATCATTGAGTCTGCTATTTGTACATGTGTATGTGTCATCTTTGTGAAATTGAACATCCAAGGTTGGCGTGTTTTTGCAGATCATTAACAGTGATGGCGTGCAAGAAGCAGCAAGAGAAACTGATGGATATTTCATAAAGAGCGGGATTGTGACGGTGATCAAGGATGCCTTGATTCCAAGTGGAACCGTAATCTAAGATGCTGCTATCTACAACTTCCAATGGTGACTGCGAAAAGTTTTCTTTCTAGTTGTCTACTGGCTTGAGAAGCCACAGTAGAAATATGCTTAACGTTCTCTTCTTCTATTTATGTCATGTAAATTTTATATTAGTATAATGTAATTAGAAGAGGAAGACTCCTATCACTAATAAAAGTTTCCCTTTATTTTTCTGCTCTCCCTACATCTTGCCTATGTTTTTATGTGAGAGAAGCATAATAATATTGAACCAATTTCACTACAATTTCATTAACTTTGAAGAAAAAGTTACTATAGTAAATTGAATTTTAAAATATTGATTGTCCCTATATTTAGAAGTTTGTCTTGTTAATCGCAGTACTTTTTTTTTTTTTTGAACAATAATGGCACTAGAGAGAGAGAAGAAACTATTCTATTCCTATCATTAACGCCACCTAAAATGAGATTTTTATCGACAATCGAATGAGTTTCTTCTCTTTCTATCATTAACGCCACCTAAAATGAGATTTTTATCGACAATCGAATTCCATACCTTGGAGACTGCCAATAAAGTCGTCCTATTTCAAAAACACTTCAGAGAAATTTCCATTTCAAATGACACTCGTAAATTCGTCAATTAATTTTTACTAATTATACCCACGGATGTCCATTTTAAGAAATTAATTTTAAAAAATGTCTACTTCATAAAAGACTATTTTGTAATTGTTTACTTTAAAAATTGGTTTTTTTCTGATGCCAAATTTTACCTTTTGTCTATTTTGATGCCGGCCATTCTTATAAGGTTGCAATATTTATGACAGTATCATATTGTACACAAAAATTTGATCTTTCTAACTATAATCTTATTTGTTATCATAAAGTTACAATCTTACGTACAATAGTTGCACATTGTACACAAACATCCAATCTTTTAAATTTATAAAGGATTAGTTTTAAAAAAAAAAAAAAAAAACTCCCCCCGAATTATGACGTGTAAAACTTTACCATTCGATCTTCAAAACTTAACATCTATTCCCATCAAGCTATGAAACGTTAACAAAAAAAACCTCATTAACATAAAACTAATATATCATATATAATTCGGGGATATTTTGACAATCTTCTCTATTTTTTTCTAAGATTAATTTTTTTTTAAAATATTAAATCGTAAAAAAATTTAATTCTAATTTACATATAATAAATACTATATATATCATATAGGATTATTATTACCTATGTTCCTGAACTTTAAAAATTCTCACTTTACTACCCTAAACTTTTATGAACTTCCACTTTACCCCTTATGTCCCATTTTTTGTTTAAGAGAGACGGAAAATGTCTCACGTGCATGGTGTTTAAGGGTGAAATCGTAATTGAATTTTGGATGATTTGTACTTATGCCCCATGAATTTTGCAGTCGCCTTCACTTTATATCCTGAACTTTGAGGTCGCTTCTACTTTGCCCCCTAAACTTTTTTATAGCTTATGTTGTACTATCTTAACCTTTGAATCTCTCTCACTTTGCTCCCTCTATTTGATTACGATTGATACCCGCCCACTCGTGTCCGTAGTAATTCGATCACCCAACACCATTTTTCTTCTTTTCTTTGATTTTCAAAACACAGTTTGATGACTTTTTTTATCATTTTTATTATTATTTGAATTATTTTCATTGATTTGATTCCTAAGAAGACATAACAGTTACCTGGATTTTACATAAATATCGATATCAATAAAAGTTAACCTAAAATACACAAATTCATCATAAAACACTTTGCTGCTTGTTTGCTGATATTTGTAACAAATTTCCATAAAGTATTTCATCATTTAACACTACACTTTTCAAAATGGAAGAAATTCAAAGTTTGAAATAATATGGAGGGAACTATGAAAAAGTTCATGAGGCGGCAAAGCAGAAGCGACCTCAAATTTTAGGGGCAAAGTCGGGGTGACTGCAAAGTCTAAAGGGCATAAGTGTAAATCACTCAAAATTCAATTACGATTTTACCCTCAAACACAATGCACATGAGCGCGCGTGAGACGTTTTATGTCTCTTTTAAACGGAAAATAGGACATAATTGTTGTCCCGAATAAGGCTACCCAAGAGGGGGGGGGGGGGGGGGGGGGGGGTTTTGAG